ATTTGAGAAGGTTTTGTGAAGATTGAGTACATACATTGAAGACATAATATCCGACAGTGGTCTACAATTTTATGAAATAATTTACCAAAGCAGAGACTGGGGAAGATTGAGGCCTGTTGTGGCAGGGAGTGGGACATCAATGAACACGGCTATTGTGAATGATGACAGGAGATGTGAAGTACAGTGGCTGCTGGTCACACACCACTTACCGATTGGGTAGTTTGAGAAGAGATTAGTCTTGGCTGTGTGGCCGGTCTCTCAGCACTAAGATGAGTGGTTTGCTAGCTAGTCATTCAGTACTGGCCGTTGAGTGATAGCGGAGGGAGGGGGCTTGCGGAGAGGATGCAAAGTGGTTTGCTCCCGTGTTGCCCAGCCCAGGCTCTCAGGTTTACTGAGTGAGGGGATGGGTGGTGGCTTCACTCTTACTTGTAGCACAGGGTCAACTTCTCAACCCAGATGACTAACTGGTTATGGAGTTGATTTTAGGAGGGGATACGATTCGGTTTGATGTCACTGTTAAAAAATAGTACTTTTTTAACGTGGTTCTGTCTTTGGGTGCTGTGTAACGATTTAATTAATGTCAGACATAGGTTACCTTTAAAAAAGAAAGTAGATTTATTCATCTTGGCAACAATGGCAATGTACTTGAAAAGGACTTTTAAAATTCACTTCTGGTATTTCATCCTATTTTCACACTCCCTCCCACTTTCAAAAATAGTGCTATTGTAACTCTATGTTACAAATTTTGCAGCGTTATTGCTGAACATTTCTGACAGGATTTGTGGTAGAGTGGATGGACATTTTGTTGTTGTTGCGATGTATAAGTGTGAAAGGTAAAATTTGTGCTGTACCTTATTTAACTGTTTACTGGTGCAGAATAAGGAAAAGTATGCTTATGTGTGTGTTTGTAGGATAATGGTTTCTGTGGTACTGATTTCAATTCCACAGAAGGAATGAGTAAAGTGAGAGTGAAAGAAGAAGTGACTCTATAAGGAATGATATATGCAGAAAGAAAGAGCTGATGTGTTTTTATATGTACCTGTGTACTTTGTCTGAAGAGGAATTTGTGTTTGGACCTGTAGCGGTCGTGTAGTGGCCGGGAGATATGACTAATGTTACATTTACGTTATGTTATAACTTTCAGAATTCGCAACGATAGTATTTCTATACGGAGACAGCTTGGTTCTCATTCCCATGACTTACAACAGAATAAACAGAACGCATTTTTTTCTTCGTTATGATGTGTGTTTTGAGGTGTACATGTTGACGTTTTATTTATCAAATGGAATGTAGAATGTAGTTATTTCAAGAGACTCAAAGATATGTATGGTGGTGTGCTCCTTGGTATTCCTTGCTTCAAAAGTTGCTGGTAATGTGGGTTGTTCACCTATTCACTAACAAAAATAGAACTGTAAGGTAGTGAATTTTTTAAAAGCATTACGGACTCATGAAGCCATGCTTACAAACTGTTTTTAACTCTAAAGAACATGATGGAAACATATAAATTTATGTCTACTGTGATTAACTGTTTTAGGACATAACAAACACATATGAAGACATGCTTACAGTAATTAACTCTTTAAGGTAAGAGAAAACACATACGAAGTTATATACGCGTTAAGTGCCCCTAAACACAACGTCTTCAAAAGTTGTCGAATGATGAGAATGAACATCCTCAATGGAGTAAAGAATAGCTCAGGATAAATCTTTTGGCTGAAGTAGGCAGATTCTTGAACTACTTTGTACACTGATTGATAGGTGTTTGTAAAGACACGATTTTGATTGGGTGAGAACTATTTTATTACAAAAGCTATTTCTTGAACACATATGCATATGTCATATTTTGCACGTAAATATTCAGAACATACACGAAAATAAAAAAATAATTTATATACACTTAATCTATTCACATAACTCTAAGAACGTAATAAATGATACACAAGCAGAAATTAGAATCATGTTAAGGTTCATGGAAAAATAATGTTCTTATTGTCATACTCTGTCGAGTGATGGGTTGACGTCATATTTGATAGTTTTGATGCTCTTGAATGACAGAACGGAATGAAATTGAGGTTTGAATTGGAGTACTCAGGTCTTCATCCTTTTGTTTGAAATGTTTTTTTGAATGTGCTATGAAGTTTGAGAGAATGAAAATTTGTTTTGTGGGAATGTTGTCAGATATCCGTGTGGAAAACATATTCCAGTCGATGACGATGCATCATGAGTTTGGTGTTTACTCCTTATTATTTCTGATGTCTATTTTTCTTTGTAATCGTTATTATGTTGGTTTTACGTTGTGGGTGATGAGCACGAGAAAGAGTAAAGTAATGACGGTATTCCGGTATGCAAAAGTCGGGAACATTTTGATGATAATGTAACCTTTCTACATTTTGTGAAATGCATTGTATATAGGTGACATATCGGTTTGAAAATCCTCTATGGAAGGGGCTTTTGTCAATTTGTGTAGGGTCAAATTGCGCTGTTGTATTACATTGCTTTTGAATGAGCGTGCAGACTTTTTGAGTGGGCTGTTCCATGAGGAAGCAAAAGCCTGACTGTGAAGTAATTGAGACAGGATGATGACACAAGCTCATGTTATACAAATGGATTGTTAGTAAAGTTGATGTTACAGAGTTATCTCCAGACCTTTCCATCTTTGTTAGTGAAATGTCACACGTTATGGTAATGTTTTAGGGTTTCAATTCTATTTGTAGAAATGCATATTTATTTCCATTGCCTTAGTTGTGTATTGCTTACGTAGATACATACAGTGTTGAACTGTTGAGACTCCGGAAAGTCAAAATATGATTGAGGATGTGGGGTTTGTAGGGGTTGATGTAATATTGAGGACAGGTAGCAGTTACAAGATACCTTGTGGTTTTTTTGTTTTTTTTAATGTAATGAGACCTCATTGAATATGTGCGCCCTGATTTTTTATTGAATCTAGGAGGGGGCTTTATCTTACAATTCTGGTCAATGTAACCATTGTCATCGTTATTATCATTGTCACAGCACTTCTCTTTGTTGTGTATTTGGACATTATCATTGTACTTGTCATCTTTGTTAGACCCATCACTATTGTCATCAATATCATCTCATCATTCACCCTGTCACCACTACCATCATCATTATCATCATTATATCATCATCTTCATCATCATCATCATCATCATCATCATCATAGCAAATGTACAGTAGAAAAAAAACTTATGGAGACTTGGATTTTTCGGAGAATTTTCTTTTATGGTTTAAAAAAAAATATAGTGCAACATTTTGCCCATCATTATCATCATTATCTCGACCACTGTCATCCCCAGCATATAAATTATGATAACCATGTGATTTAAACTGTGATGTAGCATGTAGGTTCTCGAAGAACTACTGCTTTGATTTACCAAGGATTTGTTTTCTTCGCACCCGTCCCTTTTTGCGATTCTGGAATTTTGCTCTTTTCTTTTTGTGATCCACAGCTCAGCGTTGTGGTATCAGAGATTAAGAATGCTTTCTTTTGTTTTTTGTTGTTTTTAAATTTCTCTTTGATCTCATCTTAAAAATTATAATGATTTTTGTGAGTAGGCCACTAATTTAATATCCTATTTCGCTGGAATTTTTTTATTTTTTTTTGGAAAAATGTTCTTTAAAGTGTTGCACTACCAAAAAGACCCGATAAAACTGAAGGCACTGAAATTCAACAACTTACAAATATTACTGTGCATAATCTTGTCGTTAAAACCCAGTGCAAAAATTTCCACGTGAAGGAAACTTGCTGTGATTCCAAACTGAAAATTCTTTTACCACAGACAGTGCTTGCTATTTGTGCAGGTTTACCGCATTGCTTTTCATCCCTAAAAACGTTTGTGTCATCCAGAGTGAGGTCTGCCATCATCCAAACTTTTTGATGAATCAAAAGAACATAAAAAAAAAAAAAATGTTAGATTACGTACTAGACATCTTCCACTGAAATTTCCCGGTTATTGTTTTATCCAGAAAGTATAGGAGAAACTCTCCGCCTAGTTTTACAGTTTTTCTTTGCCCTCTACCTTTAAGGCTTTGCATTTTCTTTCTTCTTGGCATTGTAATAAAATGGTGGAATCTTACTAGATCTGGAAGAAATGCCCTTACTCAATTGTTGTATCTTTTTCATTTGTTTCCTCAGTTCAACCGTTTCTTTCTCTTTAATTCATTTATATCTTTACTGTTACGCTGGAACAGAAGTTTTGCTTTCTTTATTTTGTAAAAAATTACTTTCAAAGGGCTTTTTTTGTGGGTGTTACAGATACGAAAGACACTGAGGCTCTTTGTCAGAGGTCTGTTGTCTCTAAGTTTGTATATATATACATACTCTTGTCTTTTTTTCATCGTGGTTCATTGTGTGTGAAATGTACTCTGCTTGAGGAGCCCAAATTTTAGATATGAGAAAATGATATGAATCAATTTTTTAGAATTAGACAGAAAACTTAACCTCACCAAGCTGATTTTTTGTAAACTATACGCTTCATATAGATGCTAGAACATGTTTCTTGAAATAGAGACCATCTGGATTTATGTTTACAGTGTGCTTTATAGAGGTGCTGTTATTTGGCAGGCAGTGTCAGGTAGCTGTCTTATGGGACACTCATTATCACCTTTTGGTGTTAGACGTGTTCATCTGATATTATTTGTTGATAATGATGGAAATGAACATGTCTTTTCCCTTAATGTATAAAAACTTTTGGCTGTCCTTATGTTATGATGTCATTCCACAATTATTTGCGGGTGGTTGGAGAGCGCCACTGGTAGGTCCTACTTCTTTACTTTTCCTCTGTTGTTCTGTCTGTCCACCTTACTTCTTCCCAGCACTAAATGACCATTATTGTGACAATGCGCTTCTTTTTACTCAAACAAACCCTTTTTTGGGGGGATGGGGGGTGACTTTGTGTTGTTGGTTTGTTTTTTTTGTGTGTTTTTTTTAAAAATAGTGATTTCTATAACAACGCTCAGCAAGATGCATTGCAAATCGTTTTAAAAAAACAGCACCCAATCCACCAAAAGAGCACGTGCTCAGAAGAAATCTAAAATCTTTTCCTTATATTTATACCCTGAGTTACTGTGTGTGGGCCTGATTCACCAACCAACGTTTTGCTGGTTACTTGTTTCTGTCTGAAGATTGTTGTCGGATCAAAGAAAAAATGTATAAATTAAGTCGAGTGAATTACTGAATGTTTATCTTGGCTGACCTCTGTCCATAGTAAGGGTCAAAGTACTCATAATTTGTTAAGTACATAGGGCTTACTTTTTCGGAGGTCTCGTGTGCAAGTTACGCATATTTAAGATCCTTTGATGGTCCTAAAATTAATAAGAGTAGGCTTCCGCCGCCACCCGTGTAAAATTCAAAATTAATTCCTACCGAACTGAAATAGCTCAATGTGTCTCGCGCGCTCATACGCCCTTTGGCAATTGCCAGCGCCGTTAGATTCTTTCCCGAAAAAAGGGCTTATTTTTTGGCATGGATGTACATTTGAAAACATTTATTGTTATTAATATTGTTATTATTACTATTACTTCTTTCCATTTTATTTTTTTCCACTCATGTTCTGTTTAAGAGGGATGGAGGATGCATTTGGTTTCTTCAGTCTGTGCTCGGAGTCATGTGTCTAGTTTGACTTTTTCTTTAACTTATCCTGGATCTTTTACATTGTAGATTTATATGAAGCTGTATTTTTTTTTTCTTTTCAAGGTGTTACTATTAGTATTAGAATCCTTTTTCAGATATGTAGGAAACTTGTTTGCCCACAAGTTTGTTTTGCTTTGATTTATTTAGCTACTCTGTCTGGTATATTTAGATTCTCTGATAATATGGTGATGTACTTGTATTAACATGTAAACACTATGCATGATTGTCTCTGATTTTGTTATTCATAATGGATAGTTGGCGGATGCTCTGGTATGATTTGCTTGTTCTTATGAAATATCTAATGTCCTTATCTTTTCTTTCTTTTCTTTCTATGTTACTCTCTCGAAACACCTTCTAAGCTTCTGCACTTATATATGACCTATTTGAGTAGTTCTGTTGCAAGTGCTGTGAAAGTCTAACTAAAAACTAAACTGACACTCATAATCTGATATTGCATAACTGTTACTACTGTGTAGTACAATATACATGCACAATAAAGGTTTCTGGGTCCTGAGGTGCTGCTATTACAATTAGTACTGCCCTCTCATGATGGGTGATGCAGACCTATCGTGGGTTGTAGCATTTGTAGCATTTTTTAAATTGCTCAGGACGACCACACAATGTCAAGGAAAAAATGGTTAACTACTCAAATATACAGTCGAAATTGTCCAAGATGGGGCACCTGTTATTGAGGAGAAAAGTGGTTGATTTAAACAGGCGGATGTCTTGGAAATGTCACTGTATTATTATAGAAAAAATTCAGAGGGGGGGGGGGGGATTTGTACAGGTGTTGTAGGAGTCCAGGAACGACAGGAAGTCCCCTGAACATTTTATAGTCACTCTTGAGCATATCGGCACTGTACTGCTGGCTGTTTGACTATAAAGTGTTAAAAAAAACCCAACAAATCAACTTTGAGCTGTTCCTTGTCTAGGTCTGTAAAAATCTCAAAGTCCCTATTTTGAATTCACAGCCTCCCCACAATAGAACATGTTTTTTTAATGAAAGTAGTAATAATCGGAAAGTAGTAAACAGATTTCAAGAATGGTTGTTATCCCAATGGCTTCCTCTCCTCTGGCTTTCACCTCCCCCTATCATCACTTAGTGGTTGCAGTAATTATGTATTGTTTTATATAATACTAGCCTCCCTACCCGTTCTATGAACGAGAAAATAATGTTGTCTAGACAAAAATTAATTTTGCGATGTAGCTAGATAAAAATGTCAATGCTGCAGTAATTTAAAGTTATTTGATTAAAACAGGATGGTTCTATTCTGTACCTGAGCAAAAATGATTTTTCAAAAGTGAAACTCTCTTAAGACTGCTGTGTATCATCCAAAACCTCTGGATATACATCAGTATCAGGTTGATCTTCTTCCTCTTCATTTAGATATCTACTTCATGTTTTTCTTCCCCCTCTGTATTTTCTGTGTTCACACTTGGTCTAGATTCTAGGTTTAGATCTACTCTGCCTTTGTCTCTTAGCCACAGGTGTCATTCGTCCAATGGCTCGCCGTTTGGGTGGCATAGTGATTTCATTCTCATCTAAATTCTAGATCTAGATAGATCTAACACACACACACACACACACATGATATACTGTCTTCGTCTCGTAGCCACAGGGCCACAGCACAGCCTCTAAATTAAAATCTATCACAGACTTAGACACAGCACAGGTGCCAATCATAATCAGACCTGCCGTTTGGTGGCATAGTATCTCTAGATCTAGATCTGTCACCTCTTCTAAGTCTAACTACCACAGAAAAGTAACTCTCTGTAAGCGATCCCCAACGTCTCAACTGTAGGTGCCCAAAGAAAATTTGTTTATTTCGGGCAGAAGAGCGATTTTTATATCATGTAAAACGAAATGTGTCTTGAACGCTGCATTGAAATGACGAATGGAAAAATCGTGAACAGCCGATAGTGTTTTCTATTTTTCTAAAATTTTTATGCGAATGCAAGCACTTACTGAAGTGATAGAAACTTACCTTGTTCTGTGAACTACGTTCATTAAACTTTTCATGGTTTTACGTTCCCTATTTTTTTCCAGCTATAGAAAACAGCCATCCACATGTATGCAATGATGTATGTATATATATATATATATATATATATATATATATATATATATATATATATTATATATAGTTATGGAGTTCATAGTGGTGTTAGGTTGCTTTTCCTAACATGCGTTTCATGTTCTTGACTTGGATTTCCTTTATTTTTTCCTCTCATCTTTGTTTCATTTTAATTATTTTTCTGGTTGATTATTGGAGATTACAAGCTCAAAAGTGGATTATGTCTAATTTTTGTGTGGTGTGCATGTATGAACATATGACTGCTTGTGTGTATGTGTGTGCTCATTCTCTCCAGTTTTTTTTATATAATAACTATGTCAGAAGACGTGCCAAATCCACCGTTGCTAGTGTTGCGAACTTGTTGTTACTTGTTGAAACACCCACCATTACCTGTAATTTGGTTATCAAGAGTAGTATGTTTTGGCAATTTGCATGAAAGGCATGAAATAGGAAATGTTTATTTACTTTTCTGGCCCGAATCTGAGACTTATGATATAAAATAAGATCTACTCTCAGCAGCTAAGACAGACATGCAGAGAAGACGACTTTTTATGTAAAAGGTGAAAGTGAGAGAAAAAAATTCTGCTCATTTGTACCTGTGGAAGTCTGATTGGAGTCCTCAAAGCCTAGCCCAAGTATTGTGAAAGAAATGTGAGAGCACTATCCATATCCAAGTGGACATTCACAAAAATGCTTAGTTCAGGACTTGAACGTTCATGATCTCATCATAAGTCTTGCTTTTGTAGCCAACAGCCTGAGGTGCTTTGAGAGGCTTAAAAAGTCCAGAACTTAACATTCATCCACAGGCTAATGTAAGGATCTCTGATCTCGGTAAACTGAACCAAGCTCTTGTGAACAGCTAAGGTACAATTACTACTAAAAAGAAGTATTTTACTATAAAAGGCCTGTAGTTAATTTGTTTATTACAGCACTCTTTGTTTTTCTGGAGCTACCTTTTTGGAATAAGGTTTTTGATGATTTGGGCAGGATTAAAACAGTAAAGAGGATTGAAAAAATCTGCAGTTTTTGTACTTTCCTGGTAGGATTGTAGGAATAGGAACAGAATACGTCTTTTTTTATATATGCTTGAAATGATGAGAGGTGTTATTTACTTTTGTCTGATACTTTATGCCCTTGGAGTATGTGAGGCAGGATTCTTACGATGGTGATAACAATTTCTCCTAACTCTTGCATAAAAATGTGAGCTCAGGAAAACATTTTGCAATGGCCTGCGATGTGTGTCCTAAACACTGTGTGGTTATGTGCACCATTTTTCCAAACTTGAATGTGTCCAACTGTGTGCATGTGTGTGTCTATATTTTGTTTATGTACAACATTGTATTCTCAACATGAATATGGGAGAAAATTAAACTTATCAGGTTTCCATATTTTTTGTTGTAGTTTTACTTTTGTTTAGTTCCAGTACCTGTACTGAGTTTGGTGACCTTTCAGGCGTCTGAGTTTGTTAGACTTGGATAATCTAACCGATGCAAGGTGGTTCTTGAGACTTTCAAGCGTACTTCAGTTTCTTTGTGGATGGTTGGTGGGTGGTCTCTATCAAACAACTATCATCCTTATCTTTCCTTCTTTACTCCTCAGCATGTTACTCTCTTGATCACATCGATCCACAAGAATGCCACTGGGATTTTGTGAACAACTGAACATTTATGAAACATTTGCAAACAAAACGATAAGTGTAATTTGACATAACTAGCATAAAATTAAACAGAAAACAAATGCTGAGATATGGGGTTTCAGTGAAAACAAAAGGATAGTTTATTATCTGAAACAGCTGTCTGTGCTGCTGACAGCTGAAAGCGCCTCAGATTAGACTCTGGTGTGGAGATCACCAGGAGAGAATGTATATACAACTTAAAATAAACTGAACTTCCCCCACACCCCCCTCTGAAAATGGCAGCTCGGAGTCTTCTCTCTTTTTTCTTCTTCTACTCTCCTCATACTGAGATCTAATTTTCTGAGGTGTGCTGTCAGCTCAGTTGGCATAATTCTCAATCTCAATTAAGATGTGGATGGCCCAGGTTACTTTTTCATCCTCTGTTGCCATTAAGCTCTGAGGGGAGGAGCAGTTTTATATGATAGGCCAACTGTGCAGCACTCTCAATATCTCAGGGTTCCCTTGACTACAGATATCCTTAGAAAAAGTATTTGTACTCTTGCTTTCTTGTCTGTCCAGCTGCAAATAGGTGCTTGGAGATTGGTAAAGACAGAGTATGTGTCCGTTGCCATCAGAGTGAGGTAATGAACAGACAAAAGGTGCTGGACCGGCATGACCTCATTGGTCAAAGCAATTACTTAGAATTTGTGTAAGTTTTCTATCAAACAGACCACTTGTAAATGTTAACATGACTTAGGAGTGGATGGTTGGTGGGTGTTCTGGTGAGGTTTGCTCCTTCTTACCTATCAAACATCTATCGTCCTTATCTTCCAGTCTCCTCCTTTTTTGTGTTTGTTACTCCTTTGAAACACCTCTAATCTTCAGCACTTATGTCATCTAATTATGTTGCAAGTGTCGTAAACCTCACACTAAAACTAAACTGACAGGAAAAAACATACAAACAGTGTACACAGTAAGAACTACACAATACACTAGACATACAAATAGGGGTCATAAATCCACAAGAACTCACATCATAGAATCATATTTATTGTGGAGCATGGCATGGGCGGAGCTAAAACTCTTGTCATAAAAATTAGGTTATCTTCCAGTAAACAAGCTGAAAGGATATATAAATACCAGAATAATGTCTTTTAACAACAAGCAAAATCTTGTGGGGAGCACACATTCATGAACAACCACTTCTATTAAGACATTATGAACAGAATCTTAGAACTAAACATGAAACAACAAAGATCAAATCACAAACATATAATTTATAAATCACATATGTCTTCAGACCTTCCAAGGTGCTGGTAGTCTTTACCAGAACAAAACAAGACGAAAGTTCATTTTTTAACTTAATGGATGTCCTTTACTACAACATGACACAGGACTCAACCGTTATTTTTTCAAAAAGCTGCAAGTTCTACACCACAATAACAGATAACCTGACAAGAGCTGATCTTGAAGCAAATATGAGTATTGGTTATTAGTATATATAAATCCCTTTCCGAAAAAAAAAAGGAGCTCGCTAATATTTCCTCAGTTCATCTCTGACTCTTTCTCCAGCGCGAATCAAAGGAAGCACGCAGAAATTTAGCACAGGGGAAAAAGAAAGACTGAAAGACACAAACAAACGTCTGTAGTATACTAGTAGTGAAAGAGTACAACCTACCAATGACACCCTCTAACCACCCACTCCTTCAGTGACCTAAAGTAAAAGGGTTTACTCAACAGAAGGAACACAAAGCAAATTTAAAGACAGCTGAAAGAAACAGGGCTAGCTAGACAGAAAAGATCTTAACTTGAGGTACAAATCCAAAGTCTATATAGATTAATACATGTACTTACCTCAGCAGAGGAAATAAGTATCTAAGTATTTTGTCTATTTATGGAGCCCAGATCTTCAAATGTATTGAGCCCAAAATTTTGAACTTTTTCTTTTACTGTAGTTTCTTAATCTGTGGTGTCGGTTGCATGAGCTTTCTGGACCTAAGACCTTATTCTCCTTTGGCCTGTGGAATATACCACAATCTTTACTAGGTGGAAACTCACTACAGGCTGCAAGGATGGCTTCAAAACACACACAACTGAATGCAGTTTGAAAGAGAATAATTTGTTAGTGATTCAGAGGTTTGGGTTCATCAAAAGAGGTCGGGGGACAAATAAAAAGTCAGTTAAAGTCAGTACGGTGTGTCCACAAGCACAACACCAACCAACACAAGGCATGTTAAATCATTCAAAGTCAACTATTTAAGCATGTGTGCATGCTTGAAACAAAACGTTGCCCAGAGCTGGCAAGTCATTGAATTTAGATCTCTCAAAAGTCATCGCACTGTTTCCATTCAGCAGTCCATAGTAACAACCTTCTTTTTAAGTAGTTTCCAGTTCTCTTTGCAAACAGTGAGCAGGGAAGATAGAGACACAGGGGTCAAGCATGAACAAAGGAAGTGTACCTGGGACACAGAAACAAACACGCTACACACTCTACACACCTCAACATGTGTGGAATGTAAAAGGAAAAGCACAAGCATAAAAATATATAATGTGAAAATCCACTCACATTTCCACACGATATATTCGTGTCAAAGTGTACCACCAGAACAGTTTTGTTTGAGAAAAGAGATGCACATCGACACAGTAACAGTCATTTAGAGCTGGGAAAGAGTAAGACAGACAGACAGAAACTTTCGAGGGAAAGTAAAGAAGTAGGACCTACTGCTGGTGCCCTCCACCACTCACCCACCAGACCAGACTATCGAAAGGAAGGACAAACACAGACAAGGTATCACCAAGCAGATGAGAGTATATGTAACAACATGACCAAACTCTTCGGTGGTATGCAAATAACCTGAAAGTACCGTAATGCATAATCAGTATTTACGGTAACCACAGCAACACAGATTATGAGAAAACAATACACTTGTGAAAACATAGTGAACACAAATACACATCACGAGTTGTAGTGAGTTGGCATGACAACAGATATATGGAACCACAATGAATTTTTAAATTAAGCATACTGAGACACAAAAAGGAAATAGAAGGAGCAGACCACACAACATGCACAAACACAAACAAGACCACTAGCCTTCAAACAGACTATTTTTATGTACATTTTTTAGACATCTGAACCAAACGCAAACACAAACATACACACACACACACATCCATCAGAGACACACACACACACACACTGACACATGTAGTCATTCGATACAAAGTAGCTGATTAAAGACAACCCAACTCTCTTGCTTTCAGACACAAACTCTCATGCACATACAAAGGCATGCATGTACTTCTTTCCATTATTCTTTCGGATTGCCCATGCACACCAATACACGCACACACGCACACACACACACATATAATATACACACAAACACTACAGCACAAACATATTATGCACTGTTCACTCACATACATGCACAAACGAATGTGCACAAACAGATGCTGTAACAAAGAGACAGCCACATGTTAAAAGCACGGATGTGAGCACAGTATATCATGATGGGTTCTTTTCCCCTGTACATGGAACTAGAGACACTCTGCATCACATCAAGCACAGGAAATCATGAACAAAGTATTTTGGAATGTTGTATAGAGCACAGTAGTGTGGTTTTATCATCAACATGACAATGGCATAACTTATTATACAGTGACACTTTCCCTCATCTGGATAGTTTTAGGAAGAGTTTTACGGCACTTGCGACATAAATAGGTCATATGAGTGCCGAAGATTACAGGCATTACTTAAGAGTAACGTAGAGAAGAAGGAGGAGATATAAGGAACGCAGATGTTTGAAAGAAAAGAATGAGCAAACCACACCAGAGCACCCTCAGACAGCCCAAATTTCCTTTTAAACATGTTGTCGCCTTAGAACTATTTTGTCCAAAGTGTGCTTAAGTAAAGAGGCACTTTTAGAAGAAATAGCTCTTAGGCGACGATGTGCTGACCTCTAGAAACATTTGAAACAGAGTAAAACAGCCAAAGTAATTGTCTTATAACTCAGGGTCTGAGCTGAAAGTACTTGTTGGAATGTTTGAAGAGAGGGTAATATCACAAGGCTCGAACCTTGCATGACTTGGTAAACAACAAAAAATATAGTTCTGGACATCAGCTCTAACAACGAGCCATACAGAAAAATAATGTAGATTGTTTGGCTTTTCAATTTAAAAGCAAAAAGTTTTTCCAGCCTGAGATAAGGTGGTAAGATTGCTTTATAATGTAGATCATTGAACAAATCTGGGTCAAGGATACAAATTTGAGCTGGCATGCAAACAAATTCATTATCAGAGAACAGGTAGAAAGATTTCTGATTCACAAAAACTATGTCAAAACTTTACGGAAGCCAGATAGTTTGTGTGACAGTCTGCGTATTCGGTACCAAGTATCAAATAAGTAACATTTCTTCTTTTACACAATCAGAAATCAATACTGTCAGCAAGCTGTTCAAATGTCCTAAGCCAAGAAAACAAACTTTTTCAGGAAAGAGGAAAAAACAACAACTTTCAATTCTTTCACAAATTGTTCCTACTTAATGTATCGTTTAATGCTTTTTTTCAACATTGAAAACTAGAATTTTGACCAAATTTTAATATTTATTAAGTATATACACCAGATATCACCAATTTACAATTTTTTCAAAAAATTTTGGGCTTAGTAGATCTGATCAGCTGGTTGACGATATATATTCAGAAAAAGAGAATTCTTTTTTTGTTGGAATAAGTCAAAAGACTTCTAGAATTATCTTTTTAGTCATAGTAAGTCAAGAAAAATGCATTGACATAAAATGCTTCTTAATTCTAGAGGAAATGCAAGATGAATGACAAATGGATCCAGCGGGAAACCAAAAAAACTCTTTTTAGATAAATAATGGACGGACAAGACATTTTGACCAAATCAAAACACAGAAATGTATTGTGAATGATATTGACGGTGTTATATATGGACGGCTAAGCAGCACGGTTGTTCATCTAAGAACAATACTGTACAACAGTGCTCAACACAATAATAACGACTTGCTTCGTTCATACGAAAAAAATGCAAGTGGATGGACGTTTGAGGACTGAACTCGGAACATTAAATGCAGCATACAAAACACAGATTTAAATGGAGGGATTGGTTATAAAAAAACAGGAGTGTGCTCTTATCATAAATAGACATGAATATATTACATATAGCATCTATGTAGCACTAACAAAATCTCAGCTTGATTATTGAAGTTCGGTTTTTTACAATGGAAGTAGGATATAAGTGATCAAAGTGTCTTATCTTATCTTTTTCTATGCCAAGTTGAGCTGAAGTCTACAAAGAGCCCACACAATAACTGCTACATTTCATGAAGATGAAGTAAACAGTAACATTAAGAAGTAGAAGAAGCAGACCACCTTAGAGAACCCACCTACTCCCTCCACCTTTTCCAACTACTCTCAGATCTGGTATGTCCTTCATGTCAACAGTCAAAGAACGCACATTTATAGAGAACACATATTTCTGCTGATAAAACAGCTTTCTCCAAAAAAAAAAAAAAACCCCAATAAAAACAAACCCCTAACAATTTCTCGGAGTTAGAACACAGACATTTTGAGACAGTGAAAAAGTAGCACCTTCTGTGAAAAGCGATTGCAACAGGTACTTTACAAGTCAACTGACTTATCCTTTCTATAGAAAGACAAACAGTGCCATATTTTCATAAATTCTTCACAGTGGAGAAAAAAAACAAACGTCATCCCAATAAAAGCATGCAAACGCTAAATCAGTAAAATCAGGGTTCATGAAAATGTGTGAGGCGATCTAACAAAAAGAGTAACTTCCAGCAATCCATAAATGAAGTTATAGGCCAAAAATAGACATTAGGGTCAAATTTGTAGATTTTGTATTGATGCCATATTCTTTGAGTATAACATGCCATTTATTATTTCATACATATAAATTGTAAAAACTTCACCCTTCCAAAGGGTTCGAATCTAAGAAGCAACTAATTTTGTAAGCACGCTTCACATATTAATATGATAGTAGGTTAATACCCACATGGGCATGAACAAGAGAAACGCCAGGAAAATATAGAGATACTTTTCTTCTGTCCCGAAAAAGAGCTGATGTGGAAAAATACCGTAAGATTATTAAAATCTTAGAACCTACAAAATCTCAGTCTGGTGGATGAAGTGTTGTCAATGTGCAGAGGTCAAGATTAGTCCATCTACAGTGAGACTAAATGCTGAAGTCTAGCAGTAATGAATCTGGAAATCAGATGTAAACTCTCCTGTAACACACTCTGGCCTCTGTCTTCTGTTTCAATACAGTGCTACTATGGTGTAGGTCTAAGGTCCTTATAAATACTATGAGGTAATTTAAAAGGAGGAACCTCTGAAACTAATGTCAACATTTGATAAGGCCCAGCAAAGTGGTCGAGGAGCCTTGAAAATTTAGTGTAAGAATGTCTGATTTTCTACTTGACCATCACAGTCCAGTATCATGATAGCTGGCTCAGCTAAGAGGCTGATGCCTTGTTGATCAAACTTTTTGTCATTGTCATTGTACAGGTGGTTAAAAGCCACTTTCGACACTCTAAGTTATATAAGAGGAGCGACCTCCGAATTCAATGTCTATCTCTGATAAGGCCAAGCCAAATGGTTGGAGGCTCTTAAAAACTTCCTAAAACAACCCATGGAGGATTCAAACAAACGCCACCTGCTCCATGCCCAGCATGATACCAACTGGGCTAACAGTGCAGGCTTGATAAAACTCTAGTCTTTAGCACAAAAGAGCAAAGGCAACAGAAAAGGTGACTCACAAACAAGAAGACTGCATCATGCCATCATATGACAAACAAATACATTATCCACTTGACGCCATGAATAATTCATCACAGTTTCGTTTGCACGCATTAATGAATACTTGAAAATCTGATAAAGATATGGTTCGGAAACAAAATGATCGTGTGTGGATTGTGACGTCAACACAAAATACAAGAACAAATTATTGTTTTGTGGTCATCATCATCATCATCATCATCATCTACTTCTTTCCCCGTGGTAGGCCACCAAGAAAAGCTCTCTTCCAGTCTAAGTTCTGGGTGATCTTCTCTATCCCCAGCCAGCTGTGTCCCATATGTATGAGATCTACCTCCAGGTCTCATTCCCTTGAAGATCCTATTGATATGTGGTGGCAGCACATAATTCATCACTGTTTGTACAAAATATATAAAATGCTGATGATATTAATGCTTTTCTTTTCGGTCCAAAGATATCACTGAGCTTAGGCCTGCTGTGAACTGGTTTTCCAAAACACGTTTTGGTACCCCAAAGTCAGTTTATATTTTGTGTGGATCTACCTATTCATTAATTATTGATGCGGCCCCAAGACAGAAAAAAAATAAGTCCTCATAAATTTATATAAAATAAAGATGTCAAGTAACGAAAAAGTGGTGGACTACAAAATAGGAGAAACGCAATTTTTGACCGTACATCAACAAAAAATGCTGGAATAATACCAAAAGAAAAAAAGAAAACCCCCTAATCACCAAGCAGAATTGTAGAAGAAAAGACAAAAGAGGAAAAGGTAGAGAAGTCAGATCCTTCTGGAAAATGACCAGCATCTGTCTACTCAGTTAAACAGGTGGAGATAGGAGTGGATTAAAGGAGAAGCAATATAACAGATCTTTGGCCAAATGGATGACAAACGTATTAATAATTTTACTAAATTGAGCCGCATCTCCTCCTAGTTATCATCATCAGAACCCAAATCTTTGAGAAGGAATATATGCTGACAAGGTATTTTTAGATTTGTGTTACAACCATAGAATAGTTAAAACATTAAGACAAAGAAAAGTTACAAAAATATTCACCAAATATAGACTCCAAATCTTTGAGTTTGGTTCACGAAAGTATAAAAAATAAATTACACATGTCTCTCTTTTGAAAAAAAATTATGAAATTTTGAGAGAAAATCCTCCTCTATTGGTAGAGTTATGATTATGTTTGTTTTTGTAAGAATTGTGCGGCACTTACAACACAAGTAGTTCATATATATAGGTGTCGAACAGATTAAAGGTGACACAAAAGATTAATAAACATAAAAAAGAAGGAGGAGAGATAACGACGAAAGATGTTTGATAAGAAAGAAGAAGCAAAACACACCAGATCATCCGCCAACTCCCACACACACACTACACACAGGTTGAGTGAGCTATAAAATATGAACTATGAACTACATTCCTATTTCTGAAGGAGCTAAAACAAGACATAACTCTCTACATGGACAATGTTAAGAGCTGAAGGTGGTTTTCTATACAAGACTGAAATACCATCAGAGCACATATCTAAAACAATAGCCTACTCTATACAACATAATACAACCACACAGAGAAAGTATTGCAATGTGTCATCAATGGATCTGACATTTTATATGAAAAAGGTGGGCAACATCTATAAGGTGTTCCAAATGATACAGAGAGCCAAACACTAACCTTCTGCTTTGCAGCTTTTCTTACAGAGCATGGGGTTTAAAATTATAGAAGATGACGTCAAAAATTACAAAGGATGATGTCTAAAATGTTCCCTGTCAAGCCATTTCAAAATCTCAAAGACCTACTCAGTGAACACACACTTTCAAACATACTCCTCTTTAGGAGAAGGAAGACCATCCCAGCCAAAGGAAGAAAGAACTCACCACCAGTATCAACACCAAAGAGAAAGACATAGCATCAAAACCAAATATTCAACCCCTGAAGAGATGCAAGATCACAGAACACAGGTCAGACCACTAACCTCATCCTTGTAATCACTGCAATAGGAATTTCCTAACATGTGCTGGTTTATTTTGTCATATTTTGGGTTTAATAACTTTTTGAAGAGGAAAACATTATCCATGAGGAGCAACTCCAATTAGCTGCAGGCACCATCAATACAGGATAAATACAAAATAGACCCTTATCAACACTTTTACCAGTAGAAGCAGAAATGTGACTTACAACCAAAACTACAGCCGTAGTGGACATTTGTTGTCTATGCATCTAGTACAAAGTTCAGCAGTCAGTCAAGGGAGTCCACATGAAACCAGTGCAACAGACCTCCACTGTACCAAGGACAATAGTTTGCTAATCTGTTTATCTAACTTGAGTTTAATACTCCTTTCAATACAAGGTAGGACCTCAGAACAATGTACTGTTTGCTTTTCAAGCTTGAGTCTTACAGCCTTTTCAACACATTCTAGTTCAGATAAGAGGCATGATCTCTGAGCAAACAACTGCCTTTGATAATGCAGGGAAAAAACATCAAAACCTCTGAAATGGACGAATTATGATCACTTAATGTAAATGCTCCCGACAAATCAAACCCGCGGTAAATTTTCCATGTTGCTAAATACTAAACACACTACAAACAACAGCTGTATATTGTCCCTTATATCTCTATCCAACATACACATCAAAACAACACATTGTAAATATTTTCAAGCTGTATGTAAACAAACACATCACAGCCAAGGGTAGAAAATTTCCCATGTTGCTATGTGACAAACAAACTATACGGGTATTACATTCAGAAAAATCACAACCAATGGCTGGACGTTACCAATGTTGTTATGTAACAAACACATCATATTGGTATTACACTGAGAAAAATCACAACCAATCATCAGATGTCTTCTGTGTTTTATAACAACAGACTACCTGTTACAAGTAGCGATAAATTCTCCCTATTGATACTATGAAGCTACAAATCATGACCAATAGCTGAACGCCGCTGTTCTCTCTCTGACCTTACAGCAACAAGAAGCAAAACAAATATTTCAACCGTGTCGAGGGTAGGGTCAACTTCCAAGACCACAAAATACACAACATACCCTCTTGACCCGTTGATAAACTTTTTAGTGTATAGGGAAGCCATCATTGGGACTGGGAACTCAAAGATCAAGACTGTGAGCAAGTACATAAGCTTACTGTTGGCCTCCTAAGATGGGTTTACATAGGGTTACCATCAAAAAGTGAACTAACAGACAATCATTTATTACTCTTACACTGTAAGAGTTACAGCTCGGGAAGGGGAAAGAGAGCATGTCAAGTCATTTCAACATGGACAGCAAAAAACATCACACTCATAAACACTCTTGGAGCAACATGCACACCTTTCACAACACATGCTGCAAAATGCCATTGGCACAAAACGAAGTAACCATCTCTCTCTATTCTAAATTACAGACTGTGTGAGAGTCAGCATGCCTGAGCAGGCAGAGAAAATAGGTCAGAGACAGAATGACCAAACCACACAGTGTACGCACCTTCATACTCTTCTTCCATAGCAGTTAAATTGAACTTGAATCACAAACATTTTCACAGATTGTCGGAAACTACGAACAGTAAGAAGTACACTACACAAATATATCAAGAACGCAGTAAATACGTGGTGTGTCAGTTCATCGTTTTTTCCTGTTCTTGGCGTGTAGCTCATCCAGAAAATACACCTCACTATCGGTATTTACAAATCCATCCGGCTGCCAGCGCATCATTCGGAAGTGGTATGACATATCACTGTCATTTACATGGTATTCATCAGTCCATTCTGCGGTTAATGTGGGTTAAGAAATGGAACCACGTATCACTTTGCTTGACACTGTGCTCATCAGTCCACTCAGCTGCCAGTGCATTGTTCAGAAATGGAACCATACATCACTGCCTTTACGTAGTATCGTTCAGTAACTCCAGCTGTCAGTGTGTACCTCGTGAAGGGAGCACATGTCACTGTCCATTACACAGTGTTTGCTTGCTACTCCAACCGATTATTCTGCAGTCTGTTTGTAAGTCAATCCGGGTCTGTGCAGATATGGACTTGACCTCTGGCCAGAACTCTATCCCCATGGATTGTGGCCTCCATCTTCTAAGGAGTCTGAGGAAATGTTTCCGAAGAGAGCAAGTGTTAGTATAGAAGTTTAAATTGAAATGATTTTCCATGACAATAAGTGTTAATATTGAAGTTAACACTGAAATGATTTTCCATTAGAATAACTTTTAACATTGAAATATATTTGAAAGGATTGTAGTGTAGTAAGTGGGACATGCAACAAGTCATTGTGAAAGCTGTCGAAATTTCACTGTATTGGGAAGCATCTAGAGCCACCAGGGAGTGAGCACTCTAAAAGTAAAAAAAGTGCTCTTTAAGTGATATTCATTATTTTTTAAATTACTATTACTATAATTATCATCATTATTATTATTATCATTTAATTATTATTATCATTATTATTAGTATTATTATTATCATCATCATTATCATTTTATTATTATTATTATCATAATTATTATTCCAAGCAATATACACTGAAACCCTTTCAGTGGTGAGGAACATCTCTCACATCGTATACCATGAAGTGAGCCGGTAAGTGCAACAACTTAACAATGCCAAAAATGAAGACAAGGAAAGATACACGGAAGACATTCATTACATTCGAAGGAGGGGTGGAACATGAAAGGAAAAAAAAATCTTAATCAAAATAGATTTTTCACAGATAGACTGTAGCACAGAATAACAGAAGATGTATGAAAAAAAAAGTCTAGCATTAAAAAAATACATTTTGAAAAGAGAAAATAAGTGTGATTCAGTTTTTTTAAATTTTAGTGTAAGTAAGACCTTTACAGCACTTGCAATACAACAAGGTCATACAAGTGCTGAAGGGTAGAGGTGTTACAACAAAGCAGCAAACACTAAAAAGATGGAGGAGGGATGAAATGATAGATGTCCGATAGGTAAAAAGTAGCACTCCACACCAGAGCACCTGCCAACCACCCATGCGCTTCAGTTCAAAGAGAAGCATGTCTGTTTTACAACAGTCATTTTGCAGCAGCAGGTAAAAAAACAGAAGGACAAACAGGAACAAGAGAGGAACAACAAAGAAGGACCTTCCAGGGGTGCCCTTTAATCATTTAGAGTACAAGAGATAAGAAAAGATAACAAAGTAACCCCTGATTTGTAGTTGGCTGCGAGTAAGCACAATAAAATTACTGCCAAATTTACTAAGTAACAGAAAATGACAATCCGATGGTTTTAAAAATGTCAACATTGTTGAGCAGTAGCCTATGGTGTGTAAGATGGTATGTCATGGGTTCAACAGCCTTTTCAAGAATGGAAATAACCTGTAAGGCTATATAAGAAGTATGATCTCCAAATTTGACATCCATTCCTTATGGAGCCAGGCCAAGTAGGCTAAGAAACTTGAAAGACTACCCAAACAGCCCTAGGTCAAGTGGGTTAAGAACCTTGAAAGACTACCCAAACAGCCCTAGGTCAAGTTGAGAATTCAAACCAGGGTCATTCAGACCTTAGATCCAGCAAGATACCGACTGAGTTAACAGCTAGCCTATTTCAAAAGGAAAGGATATTTTATAACAATAAAATGGAACAGAAGTAGAAGGAGCACAACCACACAAGAGTGTCTATTGACCTATCATGAAAAGAGAAAAGGCTGTAGAACCTTCCAGAGTACCCCCTCCCCCAAAACCACAGAGGAGGAGAAAGACAACAGCTAAAATATTGTTAGTCTAAGAGGAGGAGAAAGGCAACAGCTAAAATATTGTTAGTCTAAGAGGAGGAGAAAGGCAACAGCTAAAATATTGTTAGTCTAAGAGGAGGAGAAAGACAACAGCTAAAATATTGTTAGTCTAACAGGAGGAGAAAGGCAACAGCTAAAATATTGTTAGTCTAAGAGGAGGAGAAAGGCAACAGCTAAAATATTGTTAGTCTAAGAGGAGGAGAAAGACAACAGCTAAAATATTGTTAGTCTATTTGAGTAAAGAGAAGCACATCAACACACAATTAAGGTCAATTAGTGCAGGGGAAAAAAAAGCAAGGCTGACAGACAGACTGACAAGCACAACAAAGGGAAAGAAAAGAAATAGGACCTATCTTTGGCGCCTCAATCTCCCACCAATAGCTAAGAGAAGAGGTTCAAGATGAAAAGAAAAAGAAACATTATTGGAATGACCAAATGTGGGAAAAAAAAATCATCAGGCGTGGTCCAGACCTCTCGGAGTGTGGTTATCCCGGCTGCGAGACGACAAGTTCGACCGACGCAACGAGACCTCCTCCTGAGACATGGGCCGAAGATCTCTCCTGGAAATCTTCACGGGAGTGACCGGTCCCTGCTGGTCCCCACCGCGGTTAGCTCGTGATGAGGATGTGGGGCGGGACGAGGACTCGCGGTCTCCCGCAGCACTCATGGCAGTCACGTCACGACTGAGAGAGAATATAAATCACAATTAAAGGAACCGTTGCAACACTGAAGGATGCTGTCAACTGTGCGTACATTTCATTAGATCCATTTTTCTTAAACTACTTACATAAATTGTTCCTATACATACCTGTAATTGCCTGTATCCCTGTATTCATATACCTATACATTGACACATATCGTCTTAGCAGTTTGCTATCCGTGTATGGAACAAAATTTGAAAATTTAAGACATTTGACTTAAGCACAATGTTTAAAAATCAGCTCTCACATTTTAATTTGCTTCAATAATTCATGACAACTTAAATATTAATCGTAAAAATCAAGAGGCTAAAATGAGTATTAGACTAATAAAAAAGTTTGTCCACATTTTCTCGTAAGCATCTGAATTCTCCGTATGCGGATAGCAAAAATGCACTGACGATATACTTTTGACATTTTATGAGTCCATGTGCGAGAATGCTCTATGCATTTTTATGCCATTGTAGGCAACTAATATTTCTTGTAAAGTGCACTGAGCACAGTAAATTACGGAAATGCGCTATATAAACGCCATGTATCATTATTATCATAATTAATGAATCATCAATTTACCTGTACAAATTTGGTTGTTCTCGGTGTAAAGGGTGGTAACTGTGATGTGACTGGCTGCTTTGGCGAGGGGTTGCCACTTCAGTGTCCACGCTCTGCATCGAGCTGCTGACCAGTCCTGCCTCCTCTGCCACTAAAATGGGACACATTATAGACAGAACAATATAAATATTGGTTCCGCACTAAACCATTATCATCATTTTCACCATCACAAACATCAAATCATAATTTTGATAGTTGTTATAGTGATGAAAATAATGGATATAATGATAACCATATCATCAACATCCTTACTAGAACTGAAACAGACATCTGTGATCATTTCTCATCATTCATTTATTTACTCCGAAGCTCTCAAAAGACATATATTATCCTGGTCTTTCCCCGTCGCTTGTCTATTATAGTTTTCCACGTAAATAAGTAAGTCAGTAATAATAATAATAATTCTTCTTCTTCTTTTTCATATCATTAAAATAATATTATTAATAATAATAGTAATAATAGAAATCATGATAATAACACTATTGATGATCACTGGTCTAAGTGTGATGACCACAAACCTCAATTTCCCGACGGTCATACATTAAGGTTGAAAAGTACACTTGTGACTGAGCAGCAATAAAAATGTAGCGTCATGGAGCTGCTTTTATTTGATAGTGATGGGTACCAAACTCTATGGGCGAGACAACTTTTAAGACCACTCCCACCCTCCGCATAAACACACACAGACACACAGTAACATACACACACACATTCACACAGAAATACACAAAACACAAAAGCACTCACAAACACAGACACACACACACACACAAACCCACACAAACACCATTCAAAAGCTTACCCACACACAAATAAATCATACATAATTACATGCACACAAACAAACACAAACACTACACAATTACACACACACAAATGTTCACTACACACACACACACACACAAACTTCACATATCCACACAACATATCAAGCAGCAAAGAAAAGTATCTCAGTCATCTAGCACAAAACTTACCCTGAGAAGAAATCGCCCCACTCGACAATAGCTCTTTGATCTTCTTTCTCAAGTCTCGAGCTGTCTTCTTGTAGTAGTACAAATCTCTCTCCAGGTTCTGTATCCTGGCCACACAGATAAACATCTCATTAGCAATAAACGATAAATAAGTAATTACGCAGCCCACAGCCTGCAAAGAGGAGTAAAGGACAATAAAGACTTTCTTATTGCAAAAAGATTGTGCTGAACTTTAAAAACAATTATTTTCTTTTTGTGGCACTCCTTTAACCTGGTGATTTTCTTACGTATTAATTTTTAAAATTCTTTTTTTTGGGGGGAGGGAGGGGGAAGGGAGAGAACAAGAGCAGTAAACAGTCACCTTCTTCATTTTGTAGTAACAGTCAATTAAGATGGATTTTAAAAAGATCTGGACAAGTAAGAAGCGTAAGGCACAAATCTTGTTTAAACTGTAAAACAAAATATTTCTACGAATTCTGCAGCCATAAACAATACTGTTTTTTTACAGAATTCTTAAAACCCATTTCTACTTCTGTTCCATTCCCAGAACTTCCATTATTTGAAACAAAAAACACAAAAAAAAACCCATAACAACTATGACCAAGATCCTTCACTACACTTACTTGTCTTTGCTGTGTGCTGAGGACAACCCATTGCTCTCGGTGCCGGACTGAGCCAGTTGGTGCATCAACAGCTGCATCTTCTGCTCATACTCCCGCTGCTGCTGCGTTAGCTTGCGGTCAATCTCTAAGGCTGACCTCTGCAAGGCTCCTTCCAGCTCACGGATCAGGCGCTCTTGTTCATCCGTTTTCATCTGACAGAAAAAAAAGATGGAAAAGAAAACCACTTGAAAAGGCCCATTCTTTCTTCAAACTGACCGCACATCTTCCTTAAAAAAGACACATTCTCATTTTTCTGCCCCTGGAAGAAACCTTTTTCTCTTCCTATGAAACAATCTCCTTTCTTCTTTTGAACAGACCAATTTTCCTGTAATTCTTCCTGGCTTTTTCTCTTCCTTCCAAATGGCATAACCTCTTCCTTCCAAATGGCCTTCTTCTCTCCTTCCAAATGACCTTCCCTTTTCCTTCTAACCATTCACTTTTTTCTTAGAGACCTATTCTTCTCCTTCAAAATGACGAATTTCAAAAACGACATATTTCAGAATGACGTATCCCAAGCCCAGTAGGATATGTCCACTACTTCAATCAAAAACATTCACCTCCATCTCACTGCACTTTAGATTGAGCTTCCTCTCCTGGTCTCGGAGGCCGACGACCTTGTCAAAGTAGCGTGAGAGCAAGGAGCGCGTCTCGGCCGTCGTCAGGGAGTTGAGGCGCTGGAGCAGGTTTTCTTCACTCTGGTACAGGCGTAAAGTGAGAGCACAGATAATTTGTTTGGTTTGTTTGTTTGTTCGAGTAGAAAGAAACGCAACGACCCAATAACAGTAATTTAGTGCAGGGGCAAAAGTAGTATGCGTAATGTGAGAACACATGAGTTGTTTTGTTTGTTTGTTTGTTTGTTTGAGTAAAAAGAAGTGCAACGACCCAAAAACAGTCATTTAGTGCTGGGGAAAAAGTAGTATGTGTAAAGTGAGCATAGATGAGCTGTTTGTTTGTTTGTTTGTCTGTTTGCTTGTTTGTTTGAGTAAAAAGAAGTGCAACAACTTAATAAGAGTCATTTAGTACTGGGAAAAAGTAATATGCGTAACACGAGCACAGATGAGTTGTTTGTTTCTTTGAGTAGAGCAGTATAATAAAAACAATATCCATGTCATTTCCGCATTAACAGATCAGGGCAATAGAGACAAAGAAGATAGAAAACAGGACCCCCCAAAAATAGCCCTAATAAAGAAAAAATGATCTTATTACTCTGGTAGAAACAGAAAACCATAAAATAGATGACACTCACATTGGTTTGAAATCAAGGAATATGTTAATGCTAAGAGAAAAAGCCACAAAAAACCCCCAAACAACAACAAACAAAAAACAAAAACAAAAAAAATGGAAATTTGCGAAACTTTTAATACATCCCAGTCTGAACCCCAACATCCCCCCCCCCCTCCTCACACACACTCACACTCTCTCTCTCTCTCTCTCCCTCCCTCTCTCTCTCTCCCTCACCCCCAACTGCTTCTGGAAAAAGGTATCAGAACAAGAATAGCTTACCTGAGTTTACAAAAAGAGATGACAAAAAAAGGAACAAAGAAAACTTTACATTACCTGTGCAAGGGCCTGCTGGGATTGCCGAACCTCCATCTGCCGCACCTGAATGTTCTCGTCCTTGTACTGGATTGCCGCATCCAACGCCTCAATGGCCTCATCCATTTCAATCAGTCTGATGCGGCCACACACACAAAAAACAATGGGTGACAATTAGATATGAATGCTCTTGAACAAAACAAGGGAACCAAAGAATGGGTAAAACATGACAATTGACAATTGGTGAAAGTTAGATAGGAATGCCCCTGAACATTACGAGAGGATCAAGAGTAAGGAACGGACTAAATATAACAAAATGTACACGAGTATGGACTGGGTTAATAACACTGTCCACCCATCCACCCAGTATGCACAGCGCACAACCTTTGTCCCCACATACATGGACGAAGTCGGGCTACACCAAAACTATTCCTGTATCTCAGCAGAAATACCCCAATCATTATGAAATTTTCAGCCCACAGAGAAAATTGAACGTGATGATCCCAAGTTCACGCAAAAGAGAATTAGAATCGGAAATGAAAATAACAGATCTTGCATATTTATCACCCAAATTCTCATAATAGCGTTAGGGTAAAACAGCACCCACGCTAGGTCATCTACTCGGCATAAAAAAAAAGGATTTTAATTGTTGTATACAAACTGATTTTCTATCTCAAAGGCCACACGAACCATTCAAAAAGGAAATTATTACTTTAACAAATGCACAAGTCTAACAAGGAGATCTTTCCTACATTTCTCCCACCACTCAACATCCACCTCACCTCCTCTCCTTCACCACAAAAAGAACCATACTTCACAGAGAGCCTCCCCCCTCCATCCACCATACCTCCTCTCCTCCTCCACAGTCAGAACTTTGCCCTCCCCTAGCTTGGCATCCAGCCCAGCTCGCTGCTTGTGAAGTTTGTCCCGCGTCTGCCTCAGTTTGATGATCTCCTCCTTCACAGTTGACCGCCGCTCATCCGGCACCTCAGGCAGCTCTCGCTTCTTCTCCTCCAGACGTTTCTCCACTGTCTCCAGTTTCGAGGACACAGATCGAAGATTCTGGTAAAATATAACATGGAATATGTGTTATATGCATACAATTACCTATATTATATTTGTGGAAGTTCCTCACCTTGGTTGCCTAAAACTTCTGAATCGCTTAACTTTCGAATTTGAAAAAATTAAAGGTGGTTCAGAATCATTTAAAGGGTACAGAGTTTGAAGTCACTGTAGTTTAATTTTCAGTTTTTCATTAGTTTTGTTTGAATCTAATCTTGAGAAAGTCCGTCTTCTATAACACCATTGTAAACAAGTGAGGCTGCCGTTTGCAAGCAGTGCGCACTGGTTCTACAACGACTCGATGATTGATTCTTTTGAGTCTGTTCATTGAACGGGTATTCAGCTAGTCTATTATATTATTATTATCAATATTGCATAGCAAAGTCAGTGGGATGACATTAACATTTTACAGTGATATCAATAGTCTATTATATTATTATTATCAATATTGCATAGCAAAGTCAGTGGGATGACATTAACATTTTACAGTGATATCAACCTAAATAGGCTATCTAAACAACATGATCCAGGAGCCACTGAGTGTGTGCCCTTTGGGCCTTTTCTAACGAAATAAATACAACTTTTTTTTTTTACAGGAAAAAACTGAATAGCCAGTTTTTCTACGCCCACTAAACAATGTCTGC